ATTTTTTTAAAGAATATCTCTGTTATTTTTGACACCAGGTGGCGCTTTATGTGTTTCTATTTCGTCTTCGTTTCTTTTTTTTTCCTTTTCTTTTCGTTTTTTTTTTTTTTTTTTTTTTTTTTTTAGGTGCATTTATAAATTGACACCAGCTATAGCTTTTCTTCATTTTTTTTTTGTTCTTCTTATTTTCTGACAATTTTTATGTCAAAAATAAAAATATGCTTTATTTCGGTGCAAAGTAATCTTCTGGGATCTGCTGACATTTTTTTTTTCTTTCTCCTGATCTCGTGTTGATAGATTCCGCGTTTAATCCAAAAAAAAAAAAAAAATGGCGACCGTTTGATCAATATTCCTGATCCTGCTTGATTCTTCAACGGAATGTCATTTCTAATTAATTATAAGCAATAAAATCCTGCGACAAAGAGATCACAATTTACAGATTTTTTTTTTTTTTAACCAAACAGAGTATCACATCATCTGGGTGTTTCACATACAGTAATTGGCTCTGTTGCTGTGAAGTGTTAAATTTGAAATACCATGATAAACAAAGCAAATTGGTGACCCCCATAAAAAACCTGTAACAAAATTAATTATTAAGGACTTGCGAAAGTGTCCGTCTACGCTGAGCAAGAACACAAGACTTTGATCGCTTTTAGATAGACAATAACGACAGCAGAACGATTCTATAATACGGATGTCCCTAAGTGCAGCTTCCAGGCAAAATGATAATATTATACGTTTTTGCATTGCATATAAAATTAAATTAAATATATAACCAAGAATCATACAATCGTTATGGCCAATAACAACTTATTGATGTGTGTCGATGTTCATTTTCAGACACACCGGTCATGTACATATGGATATTAGCAATTAGCAGTAAAAAAAAAAATGTTACTGCGAACTTTCCATAGGAGAAACACTGCGCAATAGCGAATTGGTGACAAATTATTCTGTACAATTGATATTTTTAAATACATAATATTTTTTCTTGTTTTGTTCCGACACTAATAATAAAAGAGAAATTATAGCCTTACAGAAATCGATTTCAAATGGTAATTGTTATGAAAAAACAATCCATCCCTGTCTTTTCTACAAATACTTTCACGGTAACTTCTCCGACGAGCTACTTTCGCTAGTTCCCAGACTGCATGAATTTAAGCGTGCTACTAGGCTGGCATCACGGCCCCACCCTTTCACTGTTGAAACGGTTAAATGTGGCCATGTCTTCTACTCAAATAGCTTCATGTCTCGCACCTCCCGCCTGTGGAATTCCCTTTCTATTACTCGTTTCCATGATAGCTATAATCACCAGCTATTCAAATGTAATGTCAATCAACATCTCCAGATGCCCTGACCTATTTCTTGTCCTTCTCTTCATCCTTTCCTCCATCACGCCTCTTTACTCTCGCACCCATTCTGTAACCTCCCTGCGTACTGGTGAGTGTTTGGGGTGAAATACTTAAAAAAAAATGTAAGAGAAAAGAGTTATATATCCACTAATGGCATCAAGATAAAAATAACTTTTAGTGATTTGCTTCTTGATTCACTTGTTTTTTGTACTTACTTTTCATGAAATATATCCCTATACGTTCTCCAAGCCTTCTTTCCTCATTATTTGTCCGCGAAATTTCGATTGTCTCTTACTGATTTTAATAATCGTCAAAAATTTCGTCAAAATCCATTTTGCACATTTATAAATCCACCAAAGCCGAGTTTACCGTGGGTTCTCCGGGCCCATAGGCTCGGCCAAAAATATCCCCGTAGACCCCGCATAAACAGGTTCGGGTCTGTCTAACTCTGTGACACTGAGCTGTCGGCCCGTGGTCAACTCTCAGTCGCGGCGCGAAACTGTGATGTTTCTCCCACCGGCGTTTTGCGGTTGACTTTTAGTCGTTGCCACCAGCCTGTGTTCCGGTTGATCGGTGGTCGTCGCTACCCGGCGGAATCCCGTGGTCAGGGTACCAATATGTGAGACTAGCCCGTCCAGGGTCGAATCCTGGTCGTCGCTAACCGGCGGAATCCTTTGGTCAGTGTACCGAGTGGGATGGTCGGCCGATGCTAACGGCTTCACACCAGCTGCGTCATTCCCAGGTCATTTCCAACGTCTGGTTACCGAAGTAACTGCTTCGATCTCAGTTTTTTTTTATCTTAGGTAGATGAGATCAATCAGGCGTCTGGCCGTAGTGTAAGATGAGTCTAGACTGGAGGTGATACCGCACAAGCGTAAAGAAAAAGAAGCAGATAAAAGCCCAAGAGGTTCAAGTATGTTAAAAAAAATAACAAATTAACTTTATCCGTCTGTTATATACAGGAGTGTGTTTTTTCCCAGTCCGTTTTCTACGGAGTGTGATACTTTTACGTTTCTTAAGCAAGTTTTGGTATCTTAAGTCAACCGCTTTTAGTTTTTAGGTGCTGGTTTGGCTTCGTTCGTCAGTATAACTTGCTATTGGTAGGATAGGGGAAGTCGGAGGTCGTAGAATCTCTCGGTCAGCTTCTGCGAAGCAATACTCTGGTTCCTGCTACTTGAACTGAAATTTTACTCTCTAACCCACTGACTGTCAAACGACCCGAGGACGTTCGTTTATATGGGTACCGACCAAAAACCGGTGTGAGGCCAGACGCGGTCTGGGGTTCTCGGTAAATCTCAATTTCTAACAAGAAATCTCTTTGTTGTCAGGCCAGGAAAATTGATTACTTCCCATTTTTGGAAAATTAAACACTTTGCATTTTGTGGGGATCTCCTCGTCCGTGAGGAGAGGTTGGAGGAGAGCTATCCTCCTAAACTCTTCCTCACTCACACTGATCCCTCGTACCAATCCCTTCAGTGGGCATTAATATCCTTCTTATCAAATTACCTCCGCCTATCACCATTGCTAACACTTGAGACAAATGACATCCCGCCCGTGTGGGCGTGGCTAAGATGGCCTCCTTAAAATTATAATCCAGAATTTTTGTTTACAAAATTCTTTTCTTTTGTCATCGGTCAAAACTTTTACGAAGCCCACATTGCCACTTAAAATCTCTCAGATCTTTTGGTCACTTAGAGTCTTCTTAACCAGCACTCTTTACAAATTCCATCAATCACTTGTCAAAGTCTGCCATCTGGTCTCTTCATGAAGTTAGATTTTTCCGGAAGCCTTGGCTTCTTGAGAAATTAAATTTCTTATCTCCCAAATTCTTCCACGATATTGTTTCTCATGCCCAAAATTTTATAATCACCATATTGCTACTCAACGTGTCGGCGCCCAAAGACAACACTTTGGAAAAGTAATAATAACAATTCTCTCCATCCTGTATCGGAATAAATATTCCTTATGGCACAAATACCATATGGCTTTGCCTTGCCGGCACTCAAGAAAAATGATATCTTGGGAAGACAATTGATATTGATTCTCTTTACCCCGTATCGGCAAATCATCTCATTCCGAAATTTTTATGACCGCCATTGCAATTGCTTTGCTTTTTTAGAATCTCACGTTTCTCTCGGCAAGTATTTTTTTACAAACAACATTTATCAATTTGTCAAAAAAAAACAAAAAAAACCCAAAACTCACATATAGTTTTTCCACGAGTTTACTGTCTACGCCAATTTACGGCCTTTGGGAAAGTGACTCGATTTTATTCTTAAGTAAAAAAAAAAAAATTAAAATTTCGGGGTAACTTCTTTTCTGTTCTCAGTATTTTCTTGTTTTAATTTCTATGGTTAATTAATTAGCTAATTACCATAGCTAAATAGTGTCACACTCCCCGGACGAAACTTTGCTCTTCGGCACAGCCTCGTCCGGGTTCCCCTTTGCCCAAGGCAGAGATTTCGACAGAAGCTGCGAACAGACACAGCCTTGGAAGAACAGTCTATCACTGTTAATATTTAACGCCCCCCCCCAGGGATATATGTGGCACAAGGCCGAGTTTAACGTGGGTCATCCGAGGCCGTAGGGTCTTCCAAAATATCCCCGCATAAACGGGATCGGGTCTGTCTACCTCTCCGGACGAAAATCTGTCCTTCGGCACAGCCTCGTCCGGGTTCCTCTCTGCCTTGGGAAGAGAGTTCGACAGGAGCTGCGAACAGTCACAGCCTCGGTAGAACAATCTATCAGGTCATCCCATAAGTTTTGTCCAAATTTTGAATAAAGAAAACAAGTGACCAAATGTTACATCTAATTAAAGACTCAATCAACAATGTATTTCCCTGATTATCTATGACTTCCTTCCATCTATTAACAAGCTTACTAATTCCATTACTGTAAAATTCTTTGGGCTTTGATTCAAAGAACTCACAAATGTCAGTTTTAACCTCTTCCTGTGTTACAAAAGCTGTTTCTTCCAAATGTTTCTGTAAGCTACGAAACAAATGGTAGTCTGAAGGAGCAAGATCGGGAGAATAAGGTGGATGAGGAATTTTCTGCCAAACAAGTTCTTCGATCTTTTGTGACATGATTCTTGCTGTGTGGGGTCGCGCATTGTCCTGATGAAACGACACCCCTTTTCGATTCACTAGAGCAGGTCTTTTTTCCTCAAAGCTTGGTTCAAACGCTCTAATTGCTGACAGTATATTTGAGCATTAATAAAAATATATATTTGAGCATTAGGTGGTAAGAATTCAAAGTGGATTATTCCTTGGCGATCCCACCAGATTGAAAGAAGAACCTTTTGCCCATGAAGTTCCCTTCTCGGCTGTGGCTGGGGTCCTTCCCCTTTACCAAGCCACTGTCTACAACGCTTAACATTTCGATAAAAGATCCATTTTTCGTTGCCAGTCACAAGTCTATCCAAAAAAGGTGAAACAAGTTGGTGAAAATGGAGAGAAGAGCAGATATCAACCCGGGATTTGAGGTTGTTTTCAGACAATTCATGAGGCACCCATTTTCCAAATTTAGGAACTTTTCCAAGTTGTTGAAGATGACGATGAATAGTTGTATGGTTTGAACTGAGAACCACTGCCAATTCCTCAATCAACTGATAAAGCAGAATTTTCTTCAAGGGCTGCTTCAAGAAGCTTTTCATCAAACTCAACTGGACGTCCGGTTCGATCTTCATCTTCAAGGGTGAAATCTCCACCTCTGAATTTTGCAAACGATCTTCTGCAAGTTTTTTCATTCACACATTCCTCTCCATAAACTGAGTGAATGTTTCTAGCCGCTTCGGCTGCTGAGTTTCCTTTCTTGAACTCATAAAGCATTATGTGCCTCAAATGATTGATCATTTCAAATGATTCTTGGGTACTTCCATGTTAGCAGGGTTTTTCATCAAACAAAATTTAATTTCATTGTTCTCTGAAATAAAATTTGATCAGTTTAAATGCATTTAAACATAAAAATAATGTTCAGCTCCATTAGACATTATAAAATACTCTTTAAATTTCGTTCATTTTAACAAAAAGTTAAAATTCGGACAGAAATTATGGGATGACTTGATATATCACCGTTCCTTCTGAGGCTTACTTTTACTACTGTTTTATAGTAAGTGGAAGAGTCCATAATAGACTCATTAGAGGGAAGACCCTACAATACTCCCATAGCTCTGGTTCTTTCCTGATCGCAAATATGGCACGGATTTCGCCTCCTTAAGAACCTATGACATTTGTCAAGAAATTAACCAATGACTTATATTCGACTCATACGCAGATCAATACACGTTCTCTCCAGTTTTTTTAGAGAATATTAACGCGGAGTTGTATGGAAGGGATCGACTAATACACCGGAAATGTATGGTAATTACACGTGGCACAAAAGACGTGGCACGTTGTTTACTCTGGAAAAGTGTGAATGATATGGCGCTGTGGGGTCTGCTTCGGGATATTCGAGCAAATGGAAGCATATGTAATTATTTATGGAGGAGGATATTCTAACCTGCGACAGGTGACTCGTATTTTTATCTACGTAAATTAGATTGCGAATTTATAAAAAGCTTCCGTACGGAGAAGCGCAGTTTTCAAATGCAATTATTGCTAACCAGAATAAAATTCTCACAGAGTTGAATAGACGTATAGACTGTGATATGAACAGATTGAAGTAGACAGACAGAGCGAAAAACAGACAGATACCGACTGAGATAACATGACAAATAAACGGAGATAGATAGATAGATAGATAGAAAGAAAGAAAGAAATAAAACAAGCTAGCTACATAGATAGATAGATAGATAGATAGATAGATAGATAGATAGATGAACAGAGAACTTAGATAGATAGATAGATAGATAGATAGATAGATAGATAGATAGATAGTCGGACAGATATAGATAGATAGATAGATATGAACAAAATGAGCTAACTAGCAAGCTAGATACATAGATATGAACAGATAGATAGATAGATTTGAACAAAGCCAGATAGATAGATAGATGGGAACAAAGCCAGATAGATAGATAGATATGAACAGACTGAGATAGATAGATAGATAGATAGATATGAACAAAATGAGCTAACTAGCTAGCTAGATACATAGATATGAACAGATAGATAAATAGATAGACAGATAGATAGATAGATATGAACAAAGCCAGGTGTATAGATAGATGAGAACAAAGCCAGATAGATAGATAGATAGATAGATAGATAGATAGATATGAACAGACTGAGATAGATAGATAGATAGATAGATAGATAGATAGATAGATAGATAGATAGATAGATAGATAGATGTGAACAAAGCCAGGTAGATAGATATGAACAGAGTAAATAGATAGATGGATAGTTAGATATGAACAAAGCCAATAAGATAAAATAGCAAATAGATAGATAGATAGATAGATAGATAGACTGACAGTCAGAAGGCATGAATAGATATAAACGAAGATATAGATAGCTCGATGCTAGCTAGCTAATAATATGAACAAAACAGATGGATAGATAGATACATCGATAGAGAGATAGATAGATATGGATAATCTGACAACAGAGAGACATAAACTGATAGATAGATAGATAGATAGATAGATAGAAGCTGTTGAATATATAAAACATGACCGTTTTTTTCTTTTTTGTCTTTTCACATGAACTTGACTAAATAAAAAAAAAAAAAAACACAAAAAACACAAACGACTTTCCCTGCTTCCTCGTTATCAACTTCATTTTTCTCTTCATAGACTTTTTGTATTGTATAGAAATCGTTTTTGATCCTCCCGGGAAAATACATATTTAAAACATGTCATAAAAGACCTGAACAGAGATAGGTGGATATGATGAAGAACCCCTATTTTTCTCTGTCAATGATTCAACAGTTCTTTTAGATATGAGAAACTTTGCCCACTTCTAGACAAAATAATTGCCGAGGAGATAGATATATTCCTGTCTAAAGAGCTCTTGAAATATTGATAGAATATAAAATAAAACAAGTTTGAAAAGAATAGATAAACTATATACAATGATTAAAGCAACTACAAAAGAAAGTTTAGATAGATAGCAAAACTTGTGGTAACTTTAAAGTGTCGAAAGAATAAAAGTATCTCGTTTCTGATCTTATCACAATTTTACTTTATCGTGTTCTTAAACAGACT